AACTGTTATGAGCCATATTTGTGACACCACAGAAGCAAAATACAGTATATGTAGGTGTTGTGTGTTTCACACCTGGACCAATTTATCCTCACCAGTGAAAAGCACATCATAGCTAAACATCTAAAATAGTACAAAGACATATAGGTCATACCGTAGATGGGGAAGGAAACAAAATACATGTGGGTGTTGAGGTTTAACACTTTGATCGACTTATCCACAGTAATTAAAAGTACATGATAATTTTAAAATCTTACAGTGATCATTACTAATGGATACAATAGTAATCAGATCTACCTCCATTCATTTTGACTAAAATTAATATCATAGGGGTTGATTTACTAACCTCACAAACACGCCACAAACACGCCATGCATAAACACGCCGATTGCGCGCGCGCGTGCGCGTATACGCTTGGCGCGGAAACGTATGCAGGTTATACAGATGCTTGATAAATACTACCAACGCGCGCACATGGCGCGTTAAAATGCCGAGGATTCCATAGATTTTAGTTGTGCACCTTACCTATAGACACAACAGCCCATGTTGAAGCATAAAGCTTTGCAGTAACGTGCACCGATACTACTGAGATGCAACCTACCGGGTTTCAAGTCCCTGTGTGCAATATAATTTATCAGCAAAGTACTTATTTATATTGTTCAAAAGTCTGTGTGAGAACAAAGCTGTGAACTTTGCAGGCAGCTACTTCATAAAACCTTAAATCTGTATATTGTTGCTTATTGCCTATAATCACAAAAGGTGATATCACTGTGATGATAATGAGGTTTGAGTCCGTTAATATTAAATATAGCATTATCTTGTCCCCCAGTTCAAAGCAAATGCAGGCCTTTAAATACTGCTGCTCAGCATACACACTATTCATGTATGCTACGTAGTCAGTTTATTTTTTTATTGTACAATTGCTCATTTGCTAGGTACATTTCTGGAGGCTAAATATCCAGGGACGTTTTCAAAAGGAGGAACTTTCCTGGGAATCAGAGACAATTTGCACATGTTCCAACACATAACAGGGGGTATAAGTATCCTTCATGATGTACAAGAATGATGTGCAAGGAAATGGAGGCATCCAGAATGATTATATCATAATGCTAAAGGCACAATGGTTTGATTGGGGCCTGTGAGAATGAGATTAACCTCCCGCTGACAACAGTTTGGTAGTGTATGTGGGGATGAATACATTTAAACAGGAGGCCTCAGAAAGCTCATTTTAAACAGGTGAAATGCTGAGTTGTAGGCCACATCACTTTACTTAGTCACACTTACTTAGTCGCAGAACTCATGTAAGTCATGTATATTAACTACTGAAAGGTCATCTTACTGTAAATTGTCAAAGGGTTCAAGGGTCAGTACACCCAACTCTAATATTCTAGAGATTTAAAACATTGATGGTTTCTTACATCTTTTATGGACACTGTTGATCAGACCAGGGTGGTTTCTAAGGTGCTAATATATCAGGGGCATGATGCCATGATGACCACTTTGGATAAAATCTAGGAGTAATTTATTATTTTTAACTGAATAAAAACACATTGGTCTAAAAACTGTAATGTCATATCAAAATGACAGATTGATTTAATAGATTAATTAAAAGTAAGGTAAATTATACAATGTTCCAAAACTGTATAATGCATAGAATGTATCATCTCCATATCTCAAAGGAGACCTGGGCACTTAGTAGAAGATCTGGGACATGTGCCCCGGGTCCCAAGGTCTAGCAACACCCTTGGGTCAGACCTCTGAGCTCCTGGGTCTACACATCTTCTGCAGTCATTATAGAGGGAGCCCACTTTGCCTGTAGTATTAAAATGCTGCAAAGGTATTGAAATATGCAAAGGTGGATAGGAACACTCACAACTCCCAGGTGGATATGAAAACATGTGGGTACAATATAGGGAGATCTTGCTTTTGGTTGCATAAGAAGCCAGTGTCTGACTACCTTGTCTGCCTATATATAAAATTACACTGTTGGGTAGATTGACCCTTTTTAATAAATGCTGACCAACAAAGATATAATTACTATTTTGTTTGTATAAGGTTTGATTTATTTTTTAAGTGCTGTTAAACATTTTAAATATAGTTATAGCACTAAGAAACTGAAGGCACATAGCATTAGCCTAATTTCTTATATTAACAATATATGCTTTAAAATGCTCGCTGTATTTCGGGGCTATCAACATTCAGGGGTGCCTGGAGATTGAGCACAACATTACAATACCTAGATCAAGATAAAAATAAGCTGGTTTGAAATGTCAAATTTACATTGAACACAAAGATGAAAATTGGCATGTTTTTTTAGGATAAAAGGCTAAATTTAAATTATTTCCAATCTAAAAGTACATATTTTGTTCTACTTACATCAAAACAAAGGTTTTTGATACTGAAAATATTGCATGTTTCACATTTACAGAGCACAAGACTTATATAAAAGATATTGACAAGAATGTACAAAATCAAAGACCGTTTTATGCAGCATTTTATTTTACAGATAATAAAATCTCTTCGACAACATTAACTTGCCTCAGAAGTGTGAAATGTGAACAAATCTGCCATAATTGAGGGCAGAATAGGGTGACTATCTACCAAACTAGAGCTAGATTCATTAGCAAACCCTATTAAAAAAGTGCATAAAAATGCATGAAAATTGTATAGATAATGGCATGTTGGTTACAACAAAGATAAAAGCCATCTTTGCTCTGTTGCTCAGTGACTATTAAATATATTCTACAACCACACCTCCAGCCATAACCTTTTCTCCAATCAGCTACACAACCCTTTTACCAATGAAATGTTCAATCCTTCACTTACAGTCAAAATTTCAAAAAGAAAAGTATGCATATGAAGAAACAGGTATTAAACCTTGGTCAGAGTTGCCTATTTATTAAATGCATTATTATAGATATTAAATTATACCCAAACCCATACCCATACCCAAACAATTATACCCAAATTATACCCAAACCAATAAGATGTGGCAGTACCTTAAGTGCAGGGCACAGAGGGAAAACAAGGAAGTTTCAACATCTTCAATCACAAGAATACTCCAGCCATGTTCATACCTGTGCTTTTTTGGTGTAGCCAAATATATCTAAATCTGTACAAAATATGTAGATTTATACCATTATAGCTAATGGCACTGCCTTCATTGCTGTGTTTTTTATGTAGTGCCAGCGCTATTGGTTATGATGGCATACGCGCCAAGCTTTCTGAAATGTGAAAGAGACCTTCTAGCACAGTATATTTAAGGGGCGCACCCCTGCCATGCTCCCAGTTATACAAACCATTAAGAATTTATATGCCAAAAATTATTGGTTAAACAAAGAATTGTTTTTCAACCACTACATTCCCTTTATACTGGCTTTTTAAAAAAAAAAATAACACACAAGATAATTATTAGATAAGATAAAGGTTTGAGTGCAGAATAACAATTTTGGTAGTTAGGAGGAAAGAGACGGAGGAATTTGGTTCCAAATGAGGGATGCACAGACCTCACTGTTAATTGTGCATGCAGTTTCATAGGTGTGAATAGCCTGGCCCAGAGGGATTACTAAAATAAAGGCTGGGTCAATGCTCCAAGATCAATGAGCAGACACTATGTAGGGTTAAAAAAACAGTACAGTTCACATACTGAGTTTCATTTTTTTTTTAAAACTAACGCCAAATCTTTTTTTGGCTTTAGTCCTCTTTTGGGTCAAAGGAGTACATTTACTAAGCGAACAGCCACACAAAGCCTGAAAAAATCACAACAACATTGTCGAGATCCACCCAACTGCCTGATTGACAGCTGCCTCTCTAAAGCCAGAGCCAGATGTGTCTGCTGACTCCCCTGTCACTGCTCTTTGCAGGAAGAAGACTGTGAACTGACTGGTCAGCGGTTCATGATCACTCAGCTCTGGATCTATAGAGCAGGCGTTTGACATGTAAGGCAATAGTATGGATAGAGTTTACACACACACATGCACAGACTATTGTCAGACCTGTAGGGATAGTGCACAGGTATAGATACAAAAATTATTTTATTTTGCATTAAATCAGTAACGATTATGTACACAGGAACATCAGAATCATGACTGCCTCTATTTGATAAAGACAGTGCCAACCTAACTTACCAGTTTCAAGGCACTTTCCTGAAATGGGTCATAAAAACAGTGAATTAAGATTCATGATCATTGATGAAATGTCACATACAAGAGCAAGGTGTGATTGCAATTTGGCATTGACAAGAAGGAGGCAAGGTGTGTTCATAAACTCACATCACTGCACCCTAGGACCCCTTTCACACGGGCATTCTAATCAGGTCCTCCTGTCAGTTTTTCAGGTGGATCTGATCGTGCGTCCGTTTCTATCTGATTAGCCCTGACTCTGGCCACATCCAGAAAAACAAACGGAACAGAGTCCCATTTCGGCGGACCTTATTGTGTCGGATCTGGGGTAATCTGATGTAAACGAACAGCAGCTTTGACTGGTCACAGTCAACACAAACATATGTTAAACTTTGCTCAGTTTTATGGCCCAAATTCAAAGAAAATCCATATATTTTTGATAATATAATACAAGCACCGTTCATGTAAATGCCTGAAAACTTGTCTTTAAATGTGCTGATTGGCAGCAAGCAGTGATGTCATAGCTGTAAAAAAAATATACCCTTAAAGGTCAGTTCAGTCAAATATAACATACTTGGAAAATGTAAAATCAGTGTTCATACTGAAATTTATGACTTGAAGATATTACACATATTAGCTCAGAAATGAGACATGTTATCAAACTGAAACTTTTACAACATAAAGAATAATATAGCTACTCACTATGAACTAAAACCCATTTCATAGGTTATAGAAACTGTAGTCAAACTCTCGTTCTGACACATTTCGTATGTATATTGTTCTAAAATTCATTAACGAGCTTTAATATATTGGACATGACTATAAATATGCAGCAGACCACAGAAGGGTAACTGTTACTGAAGGTAGTCTATGAACACTCACTGTGGCCAGTTTTGCTCCCCCACTTGCAAAGTGTTGGTTTCATCCAGATGTTATTGATAGAAACTGGGTGGTCCTACATCCAATGTGGCATACCGAGATCTGGCTGAAACACAAAGCAACAGATGTAAACAAATATAATTAGGCAATTAGGTGAATTAAATTAGGCTGTGGTAATTCTTACCTTTAGAAGAAGTAGGCAACACATAGGCAGGAATATTTTAAGAGATATAACCCAAATAAAAAAAAAAGAAAAAGCCCAGAAAATTTACATGATTAGCGCAAAACATTTTAACCCTTCATTATTCATGTCCAGATCAAACAGGTAATCATACTAGGAATCTCTCTCCAACTTGTCACATTAAAGTGATATTACAGTCAAAATGGGTTTAAGCTATTTCAAATGTTGATGAAATAATTACCAATGGATGCTGCTTCTTGTTGTTTAAAAGTCTTAGTTTCCTGCAGAATCACCTGTCCCTCTGAGCACTGGTTCTGACTTCCTGTTTTAGAGTGACTCCTTTGTCAAGCAGAGTATTATGCAGTCACTCTTGCATGTGCTAGTAAGCTGTGTGTGTCTCCACAAACACACAGAAAGAAAATTTGAGAGTTTAATACTACTTTAACTCATTTTTAGTACTGTAAAAAGCAATTACAACTAAACTTTTTAAAACAAGGTATTTATTTGAAAAACGACACTATTTGTTTGACCAACTCCCACCACCTGTTTCACTAAGATGACATTAACTAACCCAAATAAATATTTTTTCTTTTCAGAAAAATAATTTTAACAAAACATTCCCAGAATAATGTGTCTGATTCATCAGACACAAGGTTTGGTATTCACGTAACCAAATAGGCCACCTGTGCATGTTGATACATCATATGTTCTTCAGACCAAAGCAGGTACGTGAACAGTAGGTCACAGGAATTTCCCCCCTCCTTTATAAAAACTACTTATAGACACCAATTGGCTCAATGTAAACGTATTACTGTTGTAAACTAAATAAGCTAAATAAGAAAGAGGGGTATGTTGTTCTTTATTTTGAATAAAGGTATTTCTAAGATTTGTGAGTCATATAATCCAGTGCACTGTGGGTGCAAAAGAGGTTATTGTGTTTACATCTAATGTAGGTCTTTTGAGGGGCAGGGTTCCAGTTTTTCTGGGGCATCATAACAGCTTTTTTTTTACATATACTGATATCTTACAGTTGTACTCTGGGATAAGCACATATCGTGTAAATACAAGAGTCATGTATATTCTTACTTGAATGTTGGTGTACTTTGCATGCATATTTACAGTGTAAAACTTTGCCTTTGTGCAGGAGCTTCTTGTAATAAAGACCAGTCATTGCTGATTTTTCAACTTGTGCAGGGTGACTTGTCTTGTCTCCACCCCCTCCTGTATTTTTCTGCAGACAGCCTGAAGTTGCTGGATCCTGCTGGATCTCTCCCATAGCTCCACTCTCTACACAGGCTATGTGCAGTACGATGATGATGTCACTGCTTCTTTTTCATGTTAATGTCTAGGTTCACAAAGGCATTTGGTACATAGATGGCATATTTAAATCCGTTATGCCTACTGAGGAATATGTTTAAATGAAATTGTTTGTGCCCTTACTGCACTTCACTACATCTATGATGTCTCTGAATTTATAACAATGCAATAGATCTTTGGAGGTATAAGGTGTAAGGCAGGGCCACCGCTGATACACCTGCAGGCCAAGGATGATCCCACTTGCAGACCAAGGATGATGATGAAACAGTCCCCTCTCTCCCCTGGCCCCCTGTTAAACTGATAGGATTCGGGGATAGAGGGGACTATTTCACCACTTTGTCTGAGGAGTAATATAGGGAGGTGTGGCTCCTGATAATTAATTTATAGTGCGGTCTGCACAGGCCAACCCCAGTACGGAAGATTTAATTATAACTTATTATATTGCTGCCTGTGGGGAATATTGTTAATAACTCTTGATAATTAGGCTACATTCATACTGTGCACAAATGTGCAATTTAGATTCCTGTGGTAGGAACTTACAGTTTCCTGCAGCAGGAATCCCAAATCTCCCATTTATATGTGGCCGTTATCACCTGTTCAACATAATGACCGGGTGACAGCGGCCACATCTGTAAGCGATATTAGGTTTTGGAATAGATCACTGTCCCTGGATGCATGGTAGTTATCTGTTCCAAACCGCATGTAATCGTATGACATACAATACATGCAAACTGCTGCTTACAGGTGATTAACTTGAACGAGTAACAGCAACCGCATCTAAATGGGGGATTTGGGATTCCTGCTGCAGGAATCTCAAATTGCACATTCACACATAGTATGAATGTAGCCTTAATAATATTTTGTACCCCAGGCAACAATAATAATTCTTTGCTCTCTTTTTAGAGCTAGAAGCAGCAGTAGAATCTTCAGAATTTAACACTTTCTGGTGTATCGGATGCCTGCATTCCTTGCTATGGTTCCTCCCAGTCCAATACATCACTAGTGTGTCCGTTCAGTGAGTCTAGCTTAGCAAGAGAGTAAATATTCCAGTCACCAGAGGCCATACTGGTAAATGTTACACATATTTTACAGTGCTGTGTTTGTTTACACATTTTTAAGATGATGACAGATTTTTTTTTAAAGTGATTTGTAAAGTTCAATGCAAATTTAAAATAAGAATACATCAATGAAAAATGCACATGTGGTACTTCTCATTCAACAATGCTAGAGAACTAGTATTCACTCTGGAATCTGGCTACTCTAAAATGGCTGCTATATTCCAAAACAGACTACAGCAGAACAAATAATATTGGGGGCAATTCAATAAAGCATCTGAAAAACTGCTCTGGTGTTATGGCCACAATAAAAAGTTCTCTGCCAAATTCATGAAAGCCGGGCAACAGTTTTCTTGCTATATCTGATGCATGTTTCAAGGTCAGGTAGCGCTTATGTGTGACACTAACACATTCTGGTGCTAAGGCTTTGACAAAATCATTAAGACATTTCATATGATAAGAAACGTTGAGGTAAATAAGACGTTTTCCATGATGGAGTAAATTGCACGTGCAAGTATTGTGTCGCAGATAACATTCTGAGGCAGTTCTGCAAGTGATTCATATACAACTTACTGACTGTTACATGAATCTGTCGCAAGTTGCGCCATTTGTTGCATGGACGGGAGAGAGATTTCTGAATTCCTGGCAATATGTTTTCTCACATTAATGTGCAATGTCATCCGCTGGACAGCATGATACAGAGGGGGTGATTTACTAACCTAAACACACACACACACCAGGTTTGTGTGATTTTCACACAGCAAAATGTATTTATCAACCAAAAAGTCTCTAAAAGCATATTTCCACTAATGCCATATATGGAGAAATCATGCACATGATGCATATATAATGCTGCTTCACAGTTTAGACAAAAATGGTTAGCTCATGCATTTACATTCCTTGCATTCATCAACGCAAGCAACACAACATAGAGCTAATTTACCCAACATCACCTTGGAATTCCTTCAGGGCTTTGCACAACACACCTGCTGGGTGTGTACACATTACAAAGGTGTTTAGATTCCACCCATAGATCATGCTGGGAGGGAACACACTGCAGAGGTGTATACACGTTCGTGGTGTGTTTATAAGGTTAGTAAATCAACCCCAGAGTATCTATGTAGCCTGATATACAAGTATGCACTCTGTCTGTCAAAAACTGATTCAGATTTCAGATTAATTTTGAAGGCTGCACACATCAACACCCTCCAGTATGGCAAAGCCACTAAGGGGTCTATTCACTAAGCTGCCGAGGGCAGCCGAGTGAATGACCGATCTGAAGTGAAGTGAGCCGAACACTGTTCGGCTATTCACTTCAGGCTGGTACGGAACCGGCAGCAGTGTGGAAAAATCCCATACTTTAGAAATCAAAGGTCTATTCTATCTGATTGTTATAAGCTTTTCATCTTGTCATAGTGGAAGTACAAATTATTCAAAACTAGCAAAAGTGTGCCTGATATTTTATCCAACTCTATACACCAAATTGTTTGCCTGTGCAGCAAGACACCTAGAGGTTTAACAATGTGTTCTTCCTAAGAACTGGAACTTCCCCTCCACCAATGTGGAAGTTATACATTATGTGGTTATGTAAGAGTCAGATGTGATTTTCACATGCACTGAGATGAAAAAATATCACACAAAAAAACGATATATAAGATAAATCTTTTTTTTACATAAACTTCAATATGGGTTCTGAGTGAACCATGGTGAAGGGAAGGGTCATTGTCACAATTGAAGGAAAAAACACACACATATGAGCTGCTGTTTACATTGATTGTTCTTACAAGCTAATATTTTTTTTACCTTATGTGGAACTTAACAAACTTGCCTGCTTTGCTTTCTACTTTATAGTTCTAATACCAATCTCTAGTGTGTTCAAAAAAGTATTTCCCTGGAGATGTTCCCTCACATTTCACTTTAAAACGATTCCCTAATGGATCTCTTACTTCATTTATTACACAGCCATTAGGGTATATTTCTAACTTGCACTTTAAGGCCTTCTTCTCTCATGAGTACTTTCCTGTGTGATACAAACAATCCCTTGATGCATTCATCCTAAATTATTCCCCCCAAAGCTTTAGTCCTTCTATGAATTGCAGCCCCAATCCAGCCATCACCGGGTTTCTGCAGAAATCTGAATATTCAGTTTTACCTTAATAAACCAGGAAGGCTTACTTATAAGGATATATATTTGTCTAATTATTTATCATAACTTAATTTGTTTAAATCTGACACTTCATATAGAACATCAAGGATAAGAAGTCACCTGATGCCTGACAATTGCTGTCTTGGCAACTGGTTGATCTCTTACATGATTTTCCAGCTTCTGATTGTGCGTAACAATATTACATATTAGAGGCCCTGTACTCATTACTTCAATGCTATGTTATTTAATACTGTTATGCATGCTTAGAAGCTAGTGAGACCAGTAGGAAAGGACTTAGAGAACTTCTAGTACCTAACATGTAAGGTGATGCATCCCAGTTATAAACAGTTTAGTTGGAATATGTAGATTCTTCCATATAACAGTATTTAAAGTGACTCTAAAC